GGGGTAGTCTGGTATATATAATATGGTCACAACGTGACGGGATAATGTGTAGGTGATGAGTAATTGAACTGCAGTCAGAGAGAGACGTATTGTTGAAGTCGAGCTCGTGAGACGTGATTTATAGTTTGTTATAGCGCGACTGTTGAAGTTGAGTGTATCATAAAGTTGTATTCGGAAAGAATAAACCGGTTTTATTTAAGAAAGGACTTGTGTCGCTAAAGTTTCGTCGGAACGAATTTATGGAAAATTAATTAACAAACGGAGACGTAACAGTAGTTAATTATCGTAGTATGTAAAGAAACATCATTAGAGACTGATGTTTTAAAACGACGAATAAAGAAACATCATTAGAGACTGATGTTTTAAAACGACGAATAAAGAAACATCATTAGAGACTGATGGTTTTAAAACGACGATTAAGGAAACATCATTAGAGACTGATGTTTTAAAACGACAAATAAAGAAACATCATTAGAGACTGATGTTTTAAAACGACGAGTAAAGAGACATCATTAGAGACTGTTGTTTTGAAATGACGAATAGAGAAACATCATTAGAGACTGGTGTTTTAAAACGACGAATAAAGAAACATCATTAGAGACTGATGTTTTAAAACGACGAGTAAGGAAACATCATTAGAGACTGATGTTTTAAAACAACAAGTAAAGAAACATAATTAGAGACTGGTGTTTTAAAACGACAAGTAAAGAAACATTATTAAAGAATGCTGTTTTCAAACGACAAGTAGAGAAACATCATTAGAGACTGATGTTTTAAAACGACAATTAAAGAAACATAATTAGAGACTGGTGTTTTAAAACGACAAGTAAAGAAACATTATTAAAAACTGAAGTTTTAAAATATTGGTAAAGAATCGTTACGACAGCGGAAGTCACATGACGCCGGTAACATGTGATGAGATCCTCGAAGGGTCGTGAGTTTTTCTGGCAACTCTAGACTGTTCCAGGTGGCCCTTTTTTATCATATAAGCCCGGCAAACAAAACAGAATGAGGTAGATAGAAAGATTGAAGATAGAGATAATCGAGTCAAGCCGTAAGTAAAGTATATGAATTCCTGTGAATTATAGCATGTTTTTATAAAAGTAGTTAAGTTAAAGTGACTGTGGAAATTCTGTATACTACAAAGTTGTATTGTGAAAGAATAAACTAGTTTTAATTAAGAAAGGACTTGTATCGCTGAAGTTCCTCGGGAAGAACTTATACCGGAAATTATCAAAGAAGCAGATACGTAACAGAATGTTCATCATAAACTGATGTTTCAAAACATAGTCATTTAGAAACTGGATTTTCTTCAGTAATCCGTTTATCAGCACACTTTTCGGAAAATGTCTTTGAAGCTGAAGTCTTTCGTTAACGATAGAAATTCACAAGACTGTTTATTTTTGCTACATTTCTAACGACGAAGTAATTCATTCACTTAACAACGACAAAGCTTTGACAAAATACATAACATGTTCCGTAATTAGTAATAAAATTCCACTTAAAACCTCTAAGTGATAAAATCATAAATAATATTCAACGTTAGACTAAATAAAATGTTTTTAACTGTGTAGCAGTTTAACGTTGAATATTATTTATGATTTTATTTTTATACACAGAATACTATAATTACTCTAACTGATAGTTTTGTCGTAAAAGAAAAAATCTACCTGGAAAAAGGATTTTGTTGATCCTGACTTCAAACAACCATACTGGATCTTTGTCTGTTTGGCAAGATCCTCGGCGCTCCCAATGGGTGCTGTCATCCTTTCAGCTGTAAGGAAAGCTGCCAGGTTGGCGGTGTACGACGAAATCATAATCAACGTGAAGAACCACCATATACCCGCTAGGAGGCGAGTTGACATAGCCCTGTGTAAAAAGTCAACAAAATTTCATCCAACATTAATAAAACATACATTGAATATGCTGCCCTCGTTATGTTTCATTGGTAGAACATATTAAACCAATTTCCGTGTTTTGAGTTTCACGATAAAGACTTGGGTTCTGGGTGTGGATCGTATATCCAGTTGACAACAACATATTTGAACTGCCAGAAATAACCCTCCAGTTTATAAAGTTATTTTATTTACACCTACCAAGTTCACCACAAAGAACAGAATAAATCACAAGCTCAGCCTGTTGTTCATTTTCCTTATATGAACACCACACGTATAATTATTCTTTGAAAGAGCAGATATTAATTAATTTCTAGAAATGCCATGTTTCGCTGTAGAAGATAAACGACCTATAATAGTAGTTCAGATATTAAAAGATTTTTGAAAATATTGTGTTTTTATTTTTATTATACATAACAACAACCTAAAAATTACATTGAAAATAAAAATTAACCAAATATGATTTACTAGAGTTAATCTTGTAAAAACAATTTTCAAGATTTGTTATTATAGTTACATACTTAGGTGCTATATCTGATCCCTGCTGCATTAACGAACCAATTATGAACCAGAAACTGTTATTCAGATTAAACTGGTTTTCCAATACGTCGTTGTCGGGGTCACATGGGTGAGGATTGTCCCATTCGTACGGACTCAGGCGAGCAAGGATGAAGAGCATCAAACTTATCCCAAGATAGGATGTTGCCATGTAGATCCATACGTCCAAAGAAAGCGGAGCAAGGAACTGGAATAATTTGGGAACCTTGACGGTTGGTTTTTTAAAGAGAATGCTTATTCCCAGGTTCATAAATGGCATTGTAAAGTCAACGGATTCTTCTCTCTCATAGGTCATAGTTAGGTCAGCAATCGCCATATCAGCATCCTGTAGAAAACAGAGAAAGAAACCAAGTAACATTACATCAAACACGTGTTAACTAGTTACCGTTTGGAGTTCTGCGTATTAATTAGTTGCTGTTTGGGGTTCTACTTGTTAAATAGTTGCCGTTTGAGCTCTACGTGTTAACCAATTGCCGTATGGGGCTCTATGTTTAACTAGTTACCGTTTGGAGTTCTGCGTATTAATTAGTTGTCGTTTGGAGTTCTACTTGTTAACTAGTTATAAGCGTCTGAGGAACTATAGCAATGAAGTCAGTATGATGCCAATCTACAGGTTCTGGTGGCAAACCACTAACATTAGGGTAAAACACTAAATGTGAAAAAGTTTAATATTTCTTTTTATTGGACTGGTTATTTCATACTGAATAACATTTAAAGGGTTTGAAAAATATTAACTTTAAATTATTGCCTGTAAGTTGACATGACTTGAAGAATGTGTGAAACGTATAGAAATATATTCACACACCCACACCAAACATAGAGTTAAAAGTTCCTAATAAAGAAAGTGCGCTTATGAAAACATAGCAGAATCTTACAATTGGTTTCAAACATCGTCAAAAGACAAGCTACTGCCATTCCGACCACAGCTGTTGAACTAGATTACAAAACTTTACGAATTCTCTGTGGTTACTTTTACACATAGCTATTACAAGAATGATTGCTAGTGAGTATCACCCATCGTCAGCTATTGAGATACCATTGTCTGATAGAATACTGGGTTTTGACTGTCACCATTATAACGTACATATGGCTCAAAAGTGCAAAATGCGAATGTTTTTTTTTTGTGTTGTTTTTTCGATAAATGAACGCGAACGGATATTCACAAATCCACAGCTCAGCATTTACACTAAATAGTTTCGCACGGCGTTTTTTATGTACCTACAAAAGGGTTTGTTGGAGTTAATAAAGTTTGTTTCGAGTTAAGAACAGAGCTACACAATGGGCTACCTGTGCACTTCCACCACGATTTCTAGCGTTGTAAGACCGCAGACGGACAGCTGGGGGGGGGGGGGGCTAATAATAAAGAAATTCAAAAACAAAGAGCTGCTAACTAACGAAAGACGAATCGTTCTTCGTATTTTATATGATTATTATATTTAACAAGATTCAAAACAACTTATATCTATTAAAATGTTTCAGTAGCCAAAAGGTGATGTTAATATCAAATTTACAGAATTTTTGAGGAACCGTAAATTAGTATGGAGGTACGGCTCACCACACAATGTAGAAATAGTACTGATTCCTGGACATTAAGAGTTGAATGAGCTGTTATAGAAATTATTAGACCTGGATGAGCTCTGATAGTGAATATTAGAACTGGATGAGTTGTAATAGTCAATATTAGACCTGGATGAGCTGTAATAGTGAATATTAGAACTGGATGAGCTGTAATAGTCAATATTAGAACTGGATGAGCTGTAATAGAGAATATTAGAACTGGATGAGCTTTTATAGAAATTATTAGACCTGTATGAGCTCTAATAGTGAATATTAGAACTGGATGAGTTGTAATAGTGAATATTAGAACTGGATGAACTGTAATAGAAATTATTAGAACTGGATGAGTTGTAATAGGGAATATTAGAACTGGATGAGCTGTAGTAGTGAATATTAGCACTGGATGAGCTGTAATAGTTAATATTAGAACTAGATGAGCTGTGATAGTGAATATTAGAACTGGATGAGCTGTGATAGTGAATATTAGTGAAGAATGAGATGTTAAAGTCAACTGTCAGCAGTAAATTTACGGACTTGCACCTTTAAAATTCAGAATTCGATTCTTCACAGAAGACAAAGCACAGATATCAATTGTGTAGTTTTGAGCATAAACAAACAAACCAAAACAAAGCAAAAATGTTTTAGGTTTATTTTATAATTTACTGAGAATTTGTTGTCTTAAATACCATTGTTGTTCTATTTCACAAACATTTAATTCGTTTTTCCACACTTTAAAGTATTTTGAACAATATTTAAGCAATAAATCCCTTTAGTTTGTGCCCGGATGGTACATCGGTAAGTTTTCAGACTGAGAATGCTAAAATCCGTGGTGGAAACAGCAGGTAGCCTAATGTGGTTCTACGCTACAACAAAGAAACAAACCATTTAATACATATTGTTCACCAAATTGGATGACATAAATCATTTTCTTGCAGAGAATGATATATATTTTTGCGACCGAAATATCACTTTGTTGAATAAGTATCTAGACTATTTTTACTCTGTGGTTTTCTAGAACATTTTTTATGATTGAAATTGAACATAGCAAAAAACGTAAGAAATCAAGCGCTTCGTACTATTTGTACAGCCAATCATACAATCACATATTTTGATGTTTTTTTCTTGTCCTGCTGGAGTAACGCGTTGGCCTATCAGATCTCTGATTTCTGTAAATCAACATACTACTATTGCTACTGGAGTAAGGTGTTGGCCAACAAGAGCTCAGATGTTTTTAAATCAGCATATTAATATTCTTGCTAGAGTAAAATCTTGGCCAATCAGAGCTGAGATCTCTGTAAATGAACGTACTACTATTCCTGCTGGAGTAAGGTGTTGTCATAGTTATCTAAGTTTGAAATATTTTTTGCTACAGATTCCATTTAACCGATTAAAATTACGCTGGAGAAACAACAAGAACAAAAGTCTTATTCTAAAGCACTTAAACATGTACACAGAGATTGGCGGAGATAGACTTTTATCAGACACACCCACTCACAGGTGAAGAGTATATCGGTCTTACAGGATACAGAAATCTCAATTTAGGATCTAGGCTTCTAGCTTGAAGAAATTTTCCAGTGGGATATGTGTAGGAAAAGTTAAGTTTCCTATTGGACAAGCTTCATGGTAACTTGTGAAAATGGATTCTGTGAAGTGTTTTGGGTTTAAAGTATTATCTTGTCATACACTCGGCACGTGAGGCTTAGGTCAGTAGCTTTGTTCTGCTTTATTAGAGATCTGGTTATGTTAGTCGCCAAGAAGTAATTGACACCCACACTCGGCACCTGGAAACGGAACTGATTGAAAAGGTGATACAGCATCAATATTTCTAGGTTCATCTATACACGAAGAATTTCCAGAGAAGGACACATGGCCTCTTGTAGATGATTGTCGTGTCTATAGAAAGGTTCCTGTTACTTATAATGAGTGAGCTTGGTGGTCAATGACTGTATCGAGTAATGAGTGAGCTCGGTGGTCAATGACTGTATCAAATAATGAGTGAGCTCTGTGGTCAATGACTGTATCAAGTAATGAGTGAGCTCGGTGGTCAATGACTGTATCAAGTAATGAGTGAGCTCGGTTGTCAATGACTGTATTAAGTAATGAGTGAGCTCGGTGGTCAATGACTGTATTAAGTAATGAGTGAGCTCGGTGGTCAATGACTGTAGCAAGTATTAAGTGAGCTCGGTGATCAATGACTGTATTAAGTAATGAGTGAGCTCGTTAGTCAATGACTGTGTTAAGCAATGAGTGAGCTCGGTGGTCAATGACTGTATTAAGTAATGAGTGAGCTCGGTGGTCAATGACTGTATTACGTAATGAAAATTGCTGAAAATGGTGATTACGTCCGATATGTTAGTGACCTTTCTAATTACTATCTTGTGAAAAATACAGAAGATGAGTGTACTGTAACAAAACACATTCTGGAACTTGGAACTGCCAAACTTGCTCAAAAAACTACAGCTCAATGTGGAGTCTCAAGGTCTAACTTGTTAAAGGTCACTGTGGACAAAATGGAAGTACTCGATGAATCTCAAGGACTAACTTGTTAAAGGTCACAGTGGACAAAATGGAAGTACTCGATGAATCTTAAGGACTAACTTGTTAAAGGTCACAGTGGACAAAAATGGAAGTACTCGATGAATCTCAAGGACTAACTTGTTAAAGGTCACAGTGGAAAAAATGGAAGTACTCGATGAATCTCAAGGACTAACTTGTTAAAGGTCACAGTGGACAAAAATGGAAGTACTCGATGAATCTCAAGGACTAACTTGTTAAAGGTCACAGTGGAAAAAATGGAAGTACGCGATGAGTCTCAAGGACTAACTTGTTAAAGGTCACAGTGGACAAAAGTACACGATGAGTCTCAAGGACTAACTTGTTAAAGGTCACAGTGGACAAAAATACTTTAGATTTTCCAAATTTGTTTGAAGACGAACTTCGTTCTCTTACTTTGTGTATTTATTAGCTTAAGTAAACAAACTATTATGTTGACAAACATGTTCTGAAATGGACGGTATGATATTTGGGTCAGCAAAAACAAAACAAAAAAAAAAAACTCTGTTAGGTGGAAAATTCCAGTCAATGGAGTATCCAGCAAATAAAATAACTAAATTTTAATACACTAGTTTCAGTACTACCAACACAGGGTTGGTGAAAGTGCTTGTGCTCATATATCATTTGCCATGTGGTTTCTCGGACATTCCCGTCGTAGAAAAATGACCTCATTAATTGTTCATACCTAAATGATATAGCAGAAGTTACAGATGGGATAAACGACTCTTACCGAGTAAGTTAAACAAACATGTAAAGCCCTGTTGAATTTCATAACAAATTTTAAGTCTTATTTGTGTCAAATAAATGCAGTATTAGGACAATGTTTGTGGCATTCATGTTCTACAAACTGAATCCCCATCATATTATATCTAAATCTATATTTTATGAATATGCTTTCTAAAGATGAATTATAATCCAGTAATGGAGAATGACCATCCTTAATCCAGTAAAAATATACGTATGAAGAATGACCATCCCTAATTCAGTAACAATATACGTATGGAGAATGACTATCCTTAATCCAGTAACTTTATATGTATGGAGAATGACTATTCTTAATCCAGTAACTTTATATGTATGGAGAATGACCATCCTTAATCCAGTAACAATATATGTATGGAGAATGACTATCCTTAATCCAGTAACTTTATATGTATGGAGAATGACTATTCTTAATCCAGTAACTTTATATGTATGGAGAATGACTATTCTTAATCCAGTAACAATATACGTATGAAGAATGACCATCCTTAATCCAGTAACAATATACCTATGAAGAATGACTACTGTTATTCCAGTAACAATATATGTATGGAGAATGACTATCCCAGTTTTAGTATTTCAAGAAAACAACCTTTACATAACTATTTCACATCCTTTACGTATTGCTTATTTTGACTTCTGTATATTTTTACGTTATGTTCAAATGTTCTTACTGATAAATCCTTATAGATTGAAACATACGAAAAAACTTATTTTCAAAGACATATTTCTATTGGTTAACTATAAACTGTGATTGTAAAGGCAGTGAAATTTATTATAAATTTCGAGGTCTTCTCTTTGGACTGTCTTTCTAGGTTTAGCTTTGTTAGCCTGCTGAGCTGAAGAAGAGTGCTTTAATTTGGGCGTTTTCAAAATTGAAATGTCTTGCGGGTGAAATATGCGGATTATTATGGAGTTGTAACCAAGGGTTCCGACTGGATAAAATTTGGTGATGTTGCGTCAGTTTGTCTCCATGACAACCAAGGAAACGTAATAGGGAATTTCACCCATTGATTATGATATTTGTGCGTCAGCAATATCAAGCATGTGGAGCGCATATATCCTATTCAATTTTATTACTCATCACGATCTCTACCAACCTACCCTCAAATCTAATTATGTTCCCGAAGAGCACTTCGTCCGTATTATATATATATATATATATGGCTAGAAGAACTTTAAAAAGACAAACTTTCTTGTCGCAACAGAAGGTGCCGTCGTTTCGTGCAAGTTGAGTGTCGATCGGCTACCGCACAGAAAGACAGAAGTTACAGACAGACAACTTTTCTTATCTAAATAATAAATTAAAAGTATTGAACAATCCACTTCAAACTGCAGAAATCCCACTATGGATACTTCACCATTTTTAATCCTTTGCTATGCATTTAAATATAGGTGACAATAATATTTATTGTCATTTAAAGCAATTTCAGAACAATGATAAGCAGTTTCTTTCAGAAAAAAATAATCAATTAGCCATAACTAAGACTATAAAAGAAACCTACGTGCGTCCGATTTCTGATAAAAAAAACTCCGAAGAAAAAGTAATTTCAAAAACTGAAAGGAGACATTAGAAACATATTATAATTATAGGAATAAACGTACCGAGGGACTTATCAACTTTAACTTAAAAACAAGCTAGCGTACGTAGCCCTCATGTAGCTTTGCGAAAAATTCAACAAAGCAAGGGGTAGTTTTACCGAGTTTAAATTGAATTTATCAGATAAGAAAGAGTTTATGCCAACATTACCGACTTGTACTGGTCACTAATAGTAAGATCCACATGCTACAGTATATTCCAACATTACCGACTTGTACTGGTCACTATTAGTAAGATCCACATGGTACAGTATATTCCAACATTACCGACTTGTACCGGTCACTAATAGTAAGATCCACATGCTACAGTATATTCCAACATTACCGACTTGTACCGGTAACTAATACTAAGATCCACATGCTACAGTATATTCCAACATTACCGACTTGTACCGGTCACTAATAGTAAGATCCACATGCTACAGTATATTCCAACATTACCGACTTGTACCGGTCACTATTAGTAAGATCCACATGCTACAGTATATTCCAACATTATCGACTTGTACCGGTCACTATTAGTAAGATACACATGTTATATTAAACTTTGTTTTTGGATGAAATAATACATCCATCTGTGAAGTACATGGGGTGGTTCAGTAGTAACTAGTGGATTAATTGTGTTATTCTTGGTATATTTGTATGTTATTAGGGACCCTGTGACTAACAAAATCATGTACCCATAAACAATTTAGGGCTTAAATAGTTTAGAAAGCCGATGGATATTATCGGTAATTCCAGGATTAATACCTGAAGTACTCTTAATGCTTGGGTGATTTACCTTGTCATGCGCATTGGTTGAATTACCTTATAAGTTCTCGTGTTACATATTATGGCATTTACCATGCAACTTTCATGTAATAGATATTCTGTCATGTGACATTGATATGTCCAATCAAGGTTCATAAACAATCGTTATGGTTTAAACGCCTTTTCTATCAACCATAATGGCCTACTGGGTTTTTAAATACTACATCGATTAGCCCAAGTCTTAAAACAAATACGATTGAAGGTTCATATACGATTAGTCAATCATCATATGAAATTTGTAGTTGAAGTAATTTTGACAAGGTTAAAGTTGTTTAATCACGCAAGTTGCAGTACACCTAACTAGCAAAGGTTCAAGAATCTTAGAACCAGATTACTGTTGGAGTACCACTGTTGTTGTGGTTTAACCTTATAATTCAACTATCTTACCAGATCAATCAGTTCTTGGTGTACTACTGTTATTGTGACTTAACCTTATAATTCAACTAACTTACCCGCTCAATCAGTTCTTGGTGTACCACTGTTGTTGTGGCTGAACATTATAATCCAACTAACTTACCCTATCAATCAGTCCTTGGGGATCCACTGTTGTTGTGACTTAACCTTATAATCCAACTAACTTACCCGATGAATCAGCTGTTGGGGTACTACTGTTGTTATGGCGTAACCTTATAATCCACTTAACTTACCCGATCAATCAGCTCTCGGATCATACCATTCCACTCCCCCCTCTCGTTCTTGGAGCCGTGGGCTTTGTCTTTCACCAGTTGAATGGAGTACTTGAATCCCAGAATCGCAGACAGTTCATGGATCAGGTCAATACAATATCCTTCAAACTTGTCGTTACCCTCCAACATATCAGCATTCTCTTTTATCATTGTGTATGGTGGATTCTGGTTATATATATATATATATATATTATGGTAATATTTATTTTAAGGTTTAAGAAACACTAGCCAGAAAAATGAAAAAATACAACTTCTTACAAAATGTTTATACGTAGGGCATTAAAGTTGATTAAAATCACTTTTATATTGTTATATTGTTACGACAGCGGAAGTCAGGTGACGCTGGTAACACGTGATGAGTTTCTAGAAAGCTCGGGGAACATTACGAATAATCCAGTATTTGCTAGACGCCCTCTATACCTGTATGTAAGCGCGCCAGATAAAGCGAGACAATTTAATCGGAACTTGAATAGCAAACAGACAGATTGAAGATATAGACAGATAATGGAGTCAAGCTGTAAGTAAAGTGTGTAAATCATTGTGAATTATAGCATGTGTTTAAGTCAAAGTGACTGTGAAAATTAAGTGTATTGCAAAGTTGAATTGAGAAAGAATAAACTAGTTTTATTTAAGAAAGGACTTGTATCGGCTGAAGTTTCTCGGAAAGAATTTTTACGGAAAATTAACAAACGAGAACAGAGACGTAACAAATTGGTGTCAGAGAGTGAGACTGAGAAAAAAAGAGATGGAAACGAGAAGTGGCAAATCAAACTAAAGCTTAGCAGATTTGATGGCAGCAATACAAAAACAGCAAAAGAAACAAAAAGAACGAGAAAATAAACAAGAAGAAAGATTACAGCAGTGGATGGAGGAGAAAGAAAATAAACAAGAAGAACGAGAAAAGAAACAAGAAGAGAGATTATAGCAGTTGTTGGAGGAAAAAGAAAAGAAACAAGAAGAGAGATTACAGCAGTTGTTGGAGAAAAAAGAAAAGAAACAAGAAGAGAGATTACAACTGCTGTTGGAGGAAAAGAAAAGAAACAAGAATAACAAGAAAATAAACAAGAAGAGAGATTACAACAGCTGTTGGAGGAAAAAGAAAAGAAACAAGAATAACTAGAAAATAAACAAGAAAAGCGACTACAGCAGTGGCAACTGTAACAAGAAAGGAAACAAGAAGTACAAATGGAAAAGCTTAGTAAATTTCAAAGTGAATTGAATACATTAAAGGATGATTTACTATCTTTAACACAAGGAGGATATATCAGCCATGGACCTAATTAGCCTCAGACAACGGAAAGTCCCTTCATAACCCCCTGGGGCTAAACCCTAATGCAGACATCTTCAGTCCTGTCAGAAGTCACATTCCAGACATCAGCAATAGGGGTGTTCTAGTACAAAGGAAGCCAAAGGAATTCGATGGGAAGGCATCATGGGAAGCATATAGAGCACAATTTGAGCTCCTGGCAGAAATGAATGGATGGACAGAGGAGCAGAAGGCAATGTAACTGGCAATAAGCTTGACGGGACAACCACTGGAAATACTTGGACAGTTGTCAGCACTTGTAGCGGCTCTAGAACTTAAGTATGGAACCTAAAATCAGTCCGAAGTCTACAGAGCGATGTTTAGGACTAGAGTCCGTGCTAAAGGGAAGAGCCTGCAAGAGCTGGCACAGGACTTGGAAAGTATGGCACACAGTACCTACCAAACTGCACCACCCGATGTCCTCAAGCTGTTGCTGAGGGATCAGTTTGTAGACGCCTTAGACAGTCCACAACTGAAGATACAAGTAAAGCAAGCACACCACTCTACTATTTAAGATGCAATGGCCAGAGCTTTTGAATTCGAATATTATGTTAAGTCCAGCATACAGGTACCAAGGTTGATACAGTCATCAGAATTCAAGGCCAGCAAAGGTCAGCTTTCAAAGAGATTTGAGGGCCTTTGCTGGCACTGTAACAAACCTGGGCACAAGAAAGCTCAATGCTGGAAACGTCAACAAAGGGAAGATACCATGGCAGGAAAGGC